TCTTGGAGCAAACCTGCATCATGAAATTTTTAAAAAGCCAAGCTGGTGTGAAAATTATGTGCTCTCAGCCTAAAACCCATCTGGCCCATTAAAACGCAGAATCTGCCCTTTAAAATGCAGATATGCATTCGTAGCTCTTGAAAGAACATGGGCACCGGGATGCAACCTATCACCCAGATAAGCTCCCTGTTGCATGTCCGTGTCCTCTTCGATTTGTGCTGCTTGGCTGAACAGCGTAGCAGTAGGTGGTTTTCATTCAACGGAATGTTTGCATATGGTACAGAAGAGCCATCTAAATCATAGGGTGGGTGGTAAAAGCTTTCCCAAACATGCTTTTCGGTGAAGGTATGCATGCATTTTTAATGTCGTTTTCCTTCTTTCCTGTAGTCATGTAACAGAGCAAAGTAAGCAGCTTTCTGCTGTTGAAAAGGAAAGAAGAGGATGAACCTCTGGCAGCTTCAGATGATGCTTCCTTTTTGCAGCAGTCGTTCAGGATTGGTCTCAAAGAGGCTTTGCCTGCTTGATGACCTGCAAATGTGTGACCAAAAGCAGAACAGGGATGTATGAGGATTTCCCTTTTGCTCAGAAATGACGATGCCTTGACTGAACCTCTAAATGTAACTGTGAGTATGTATCCATTAGAAATATTGCAGACCTATCAAAAAGATGCTTGCATTCATCTGATTCCTGATTCCCAGTTCGATTTACCCAAATTTATCGTTCAATCACTGCAGAATTTGTGCAAGTTTCCTGTCCGTGCAGAGTGAGCAGCTTGTGCAAGAATGTGAACAAGGCAAGTGCAGGAGACAAGAGGAGAGCCAATGTTTGCCAAATCTTAATAACCTCAAACACTATTTATTTATTATTCCTGAAGAAAACAACCTGCACTTTCACTGGAAATGAATGAAAAAAATAATTATTTACCAAACTTTTTTTCCCCAAACTCACACAAACCAAAGCACTATTATATGGTGATATTGACAACTTTCCCAATTCTGTAATGCAGTTTGCAATTAGAAATGTACACAAAAATGCACACAGTTGAGTAAGGTATATATAAGAACACACACACGCAAACACGAATGCATGTATTGGGGGAAATTGCTTTCACAAAAGGTGAATTTTTGGAAATATGAAACAAAAATGTGTTTAATGGGAGAAACACATACAAAAATAAGTCTTAAGTTTTGTACAGACTTCTAGAAAAGACATTTCAGTCTGATAAGGAAATGGTATAAAAAATGGGAAATGGAGGAGAAATTGACAGACTTGTGCATCCATACCCTCCAGCCTATTTTCTAGGTGATAACTAAAATTAATAAAATGAAGCAATAAAACTATATACTTTCAAGGCAAATAGTAAATAATTTTAATCTTTTAAAAACGGACCATAGAAAGCTACAGTGGTTTAGCAGTGGTGAATGTCTCTTGCACGTAGAAATCTCATAGAATTGAAGGGTTGTAAGTATAGTACCCCAATCAACCATGTACCCAGCTTCTAGGAGTGCCATCCACACTGCAATTAACTGTTTTTGCTAATTGGGATATCATTGGGAACTTTGTCAAATACCATTTTGAATAAAGACATATGATAGCCACATCAATTCACAGTTTACTGTATAATGTAGCAGCTTCAGCTTCCTAGATTGCAATTCATCCTGTTCAGGGGACTTGAACTCAGTTAACATTCTTAGATTCCTGGAATCCTGCTTTTTTAGCTTGTTTGTCACATGTGCCAGATGGGACAGAGATCCTCTTTTGGGAAATGATTGAGCCAAACCAGGAGTGAAAGAATGTAGCTTTTTCTTTGACACCTGTCAGCATTCTGTTTCCACCACGCTGAAGCATTTCCACTGGTTTCTATGTGGCAGGACAGCACATCAGAAAAACCAGCACTTAGTAAATAAGCCCTTGTTAGTACATCACACTGATAAGCAAGAAAGCCAACACAGTGCTGCATTTTAATTCACCAGGTGTGTAATTGTCTAGGAACTAGAGCAGATCTAATTGAATGAAACCAACTGTTAAAATCTAATATAAATTTATTAACGCAATAACATATTATTTAGAAGCCACCAATGCAAAAACCATTTTTGAAGGAGTTCCATCTGTGCCAATTTATCAAGTCTACCCAGAAAGGAGATTTATGATGCTGAGATACAGTGCATCGTGAGGTCAGTGCACCAAGTAAACACGTTACTCCTGAGTTGCTTTTCCACAAGGCATTATCGTTCTATATCTCTGCATTCACATAGAGTGAAGTCTTGAGTCCCCTCTGACACCTCTCAGTCTTCCTTCTCTTTATACCATTTTGTTTGCACATCCCTGCAGGTGGAACATGGTGAAACCTAGTCCTTTTGTGATCCTCCCGCTTCTCCATTAATGGAATTTCCCACCCAGGTTGTATCCTAGCAACTGGCAGCATCACCAGCTCGAGGAGGGGGACCTCTGTGTCAGAGAGATTGCTCAGCTCCTTCTGTGGGACTCATCCAGCCCTTGTTTCCTCCTCTTGTTTTGCTATTGGTAGACCAGGGCTCTTGGCAGCCCCGACTGTCAATCCCACCTCCTGTTCTGCTATCTCTTCATTCCCACAGGCCAGTTGGCCATCCCACCCCCCCACATCATCCTAGACTGACAACTCCTCTCCTTGTTCCCCAGACATTCCTTGACCTTGACCTGATACTTGGGCTTATTGAGATTCCACAACAATTTTGTCTTCACTGTCAGAGTTTGCATTCCTGTCCCATCAAAACTATACACTGGACACCAGGACAAGGTGCCAGAACATGCATGAACCCAGGTACCCAGAGGCCATTTCACCCACTGGTTTGTCTACTAATATATGCTATATTTTCTATATGTTGCAAGCTGTATATATGTTGCAAGCTGCTTCTATATGTTTTTGGCTTCTCCTGGGGCCCAAGGAAGCAACCAACAAGAACTATTAAATTATACAGTCTTTAAAAGAATAAAGATGCATCAGGAGAGCCTGGCTAAAACTCAGATGCCTGACATCAAGACAGGGCTACGGGTCACTTATCAATATCAGCCCTTGCCATTCAATATCATGAAGAGGAGGGCAATAGATAAAGTCAGAATAAGACATTTAATGGTGAGATCACTTTTTAAAGTTGTGCTGGTGAGTAGCTGCCATTTGAGTTCATCCTCAGGTAGAAGAATATTTTGAGCAGGCACTACTGAAAATCACAGTAGTGGGTGGGGTTAAAGCAACATGTGGAATAACATGGTTTTAGGAGCTTGCTGAAATCCCAGGAAAGATACATGCCTAGGATGGATGAATCTGTCACTTTTGGATTCTTTCAGTACCTTATTCTTCCATTGATAAGTTTGGTTTGTCCTAAACTTGAGCACTTTCTTTTTTAAATACCCACATAAGCATTTTACCAAGTGCCTGCATTTTTGCTTGTCTACTGGACACATTTGTTGTGAGCAATTTTCTGAATATAACTGATTTTCAAAGATATTTTTCCCTGATAATATACATCTCCCATGTCTATTTTAAATTTGAGAACTCTGTTGCAAATTTTGAAGCATAATTGAGTTTTGGTTTTCATAATTTCGAAAATGAAAAATTATGTAAATCCACAGAATAATGGAGAGTAAATAAATCTCTCCATCCTTATCTGTGTGTGCATTCATAGCTACCACTAGAGTTTGAATCTGTAACATCTCGGATTTGTTGGAGCAATACTTCTCAGAATAACAGTGTTTTCAGACCTCTAAGTACCAATCCATGGGTGAGTTTGCATGTCACATTAAGGCATTCTGAAAAATAAGCCACCATGGGTTGGTTGTTAACTTGCTAACCCATGTTACTTCAAATGTCCAGGTGCTCTTTGGCTTGCTTCTCCATTACTCCTCCCACCTATTCCCAGCATGTATCCCATGGGTGCTTGCAGTGAAACCTCAACTCCCCACTCAGTTACTCCAATAGTTAACATAAATGCACTGACTTGCAGAGTAGAATTTATTTTGTAGAATTTCCTTTGCATTTTCAGGGAGATGTGAGTACAATTTACTTTTTTTTTCTTATTTATTTTTGGGAAGATCATTCTACAAATCACCCCCAAGATGATAACCATAGTGTCAAATATGTATGCATCTATTCAAAGCTGGAAAATAATGAGAAATGTGCCTAAGGTTTTAAAAAAGTGTTGCTGTTTAGGAAGGCAACAATATATTAGATGAGGGGGAGGTGGATAGCAAAGGAGAAGGAAGGTGGAACTTGTGAAATCACAAGAAACAACTGGGTTTTTCACTCCTCTTGCTAGGAAGTTCTGTAGTCCTTCCAATAAGTCATGCATTGGCCACATAGCCAAATACACACATCATAATCAGCCACTCTCAAAACAGGATATTGGAGCGATTTGGGCATGGTTAACAAACTTCTCTGAGAAATCTATGCTGGCTTCATATATCACAAGAAGCTATCCTGAACCAAGCAGGGGTGACAACCCACGATTGTTATCATGTCATGCAAACCAGGTTCTTATATGGATGAAATGGTCCCAGCCATGCACCAGAGGGAGGCCTGAGCAAGTTTGCGGAGTGCTGATATTTTCTAGAAGCAAACATTAGAGAAAGAAACATAGGCAGTGGGTGGAGGGAAGAAGACCCAAACTGCCTAATTCACTCTGTGAGGGGAAAAAAAGAAAAGAAAGAAAACTAGGAGGGAAGGGCAATGGAATTAAGTGTTGTCTGTTAAATCCCTTTACAATTCCAGTATTGTATTACAGTTGAAATAAGAAATGAAGCTATTGCAATGAAGCACAAAGGAAAAACAAGTGCATTTAGAATATGTCTAACGTCACAAATGTTTTCCACCTAAAATTGCCAATCTAAAATCCATACTTTGATAATACACTTTTTAAAAAATCTAACACGTCAGACTAGCTTGGCAACGAGCAAAGCATCAAACACAAGAAGAAACTACTTATCACAATCACTGTACAATCCCTGCTTCCATTTCAGATCATTACCTGCTTCCTTGGTCTGGATCACTCTAGATGGCGCACTTGGATCTCCAGTCCCAATTTTGTTCATCGCTACAACTCTAAATTCATATTCCACCCACGGGTTCAGTTCGACAGCCATCGCAGACTCCATGTCACCACTGATGTTTTCTGGAACTGCGAAGAGAGAGGAAATTGAGTAATTCATTATAAGACATATAATCCGCAAACAATTTTCTCTGAAGTTGCTAAACTGAAGTTGGAGGAATCAATTGCCAAGAGTGTGTCTCAAGAACATGGTCTTTGCTAATTTCTATATAACATGTCCTGACCTGCATCATTTGGGCTCACACATGGATTGAAATTAAATAAGCACAGCTTTTAACTCCTTCGAATGTGGCAAAGACATTCTTAGCACTTGAAACTTTCCAAGAGAAGGAGGAATTTTGAGAGGAAAACACATATTTAAGTCATTGGAGTCATTGAAGGGTGCAAGCCCAGGGCAAAATCTTAGGGCGATGACCAGAAGCCTCAAACTCAGAGGCCTCCAGTGCAGGGCAGGAGAAACTTCAGAAGGGATCTTTGGCTATCTAGTGATACTGTTTCGGGGAGGGGGCAGGAGTGGGCTCAGAATACCTCCTCTTCTGTCTGCTCCCGTCTCCTTCCTGGCCCACCCCTTCCTGCCCCCTTGAGCTCCTCTCTGAGGTTGCTTTCCCAACCTCAGCAGCTGAAGCAGTTCTTTCCACACCCGGAGGAGGAGGCAGGGGATAGAGAAGCTCTGATTTCCTGTTTGGCATTTAGAACTTGCCTCCAGCCACCAAACTTTCAATGGTCCTTCAGATTATGTGCTACAGGATCATTCTGCTAATTGGGGTTCTCTTTCTTTTTATCTTGCCTAAAATTTGTAGTGGGACATTGGAGATAAACATCCTGATATAAATGAGATGGAGGGGGCAAAAGTATTTACAGGGATAAGAGCCTTGGCTACTGGGCAATACAAAAATGAAGTAAATAAATACAGAGGCAGAGATGGGAAGAAGACTTATTCCAGCAGAGAGGCTCCTATCTTTTCTTTCCCCCCTCTCCACCTCAATTTTTTAGGGTGCATGTGCATGAATGTTGGCTGGGGAATGCTGGATTTGCCAGATGTGTTTTGGGCTAAACATGCATAGGATTGAACCTTTACCATATTACAAGCTTCAGGCTCTGCCAGTGGTTTTGGTGGTGTGGCAGAAGTAAGGAAGTTTTGTCAACTACCAGCATCATTGCACCTTAAAGATGGTTCGAATGCACCCTGTGATTTTGAGGGCCTCATTATGGCTCAGCTGTGGGTCAGCTGTGTTTTGGTACAAAAATGATTTGGGTCATCCTGTACAATGACCTACGTATGATGGGAGAGAGATACATCCAGATCGCTTGGTGGCTTTGGATATTATTAGCAATGTCTCAGACTATCTGATTGGTGGGAGTAGGAGGAGATGCTGCATTGTTGTGGTTCCACATGGTGGGGCAGCTCCAGGAAGTTAGTGCCTGGGGAATATTGCTCAGTCCCATAGAATAGCCACTGTGGTATTTCCCAGGGTTGATCTTGTCCCTCATGCTATTCCACATCTACATGAAACCATTGAGTAAGGTCCTCCAGAGGTTTTGGAGTGCATTGCCACCAGTATGCTGATAACATGCAGCTCTCGCTCTCCTTTTCACCTTCAGCAGGTTAGACTGTGGATAGGCTGAATTGGTGTTTGGTTGTGACAATGGGTTGGATGAGGGTTCACAAACTTAAGCTCAATCCAGGCAAGAATGAAATGCTGCCGATGGACAGTTCCTCTGGCCAGATGGGGAGTGCTCAACCTATTCTTGAATGGGTTGCACTCCCTTTGATGGAGCAGGTTTGCAGCTTGTGGGTGCTACTTGAGCAGAATGGAATCATCAGTGGCCAAGTCAAGAAAGAACTGTCAGCAAAAAGGAGCTTGGCATAGTTTGCAGCCTGCCTGTCTGGACTTTGCCCTGGGCCCTTGATCACACCTCTGCTTTTTTCCCCCAGCCCGAGACAGGCCACAAGATTCACTCAAGTCTCTTGATTGACTTTTGGTTTATTTGTTCTTTAATTCTCTCACCTGTTTTTACAGTCTGCCAACCAAGTGAAAATGGACTTCGTGCTTGTAGGCTGTAGGATGTTATGGGGCTGTGATTGTCTGCCCCAGGAGTCCATGAAAGAGTTGCTGTGGTCTCTGTGATCTCCTCAACAATCACAACCCCGGGAGGCCCAGGTGGACCTAAAAGACAAGAGACTGAGTGCACTACTTTCAAAAACCTTATCCATAGGCCTGTTGGATCACATCCACATGTACCATGCAATTAATCCAGCTTAAGAACGACCACTCTCCATTATGACGCCCCATTCTCCCATGATTCAGTCACATGAAATAACTTTCCTGCCCGAGCATCTATATCTTCAAATCCCTTACTGGAGAATGATTAGTCAACATGGAGAATCAAGGGCATGCCAGTCCATGACATTCAGGACCATAATGCTTCTAAAGTCTCAACCATGGGTCCTAGACCACCCTTCCTCAACCTTGTGTTCTTCAGCTCCATTCAACATTCAGTTCTGGCCCACAGCTTTTCTTTCCCAGGTCCATTGGCCAAGCTGGGCTGATGGGAGCTGCAGCCCAAAACATCTGGAGAACCTGAGCTCAAGACATTTGTTGCCTGAAGCAAAGGACAAAATCACACCCTCCCTACTCTGTGGGATGTATGTAGAATTCACCTCAATTTTGGTGATGGGATAACATTCCGCACCACACCTGAGAGGAGCAGATGTTTGCAGGTGTGGAACAGTTTGTGTGGCACATACAGCTGTATCCTTTAGCACAGAGAAGCACCTGGGAGGTTCAAGGGGAACAGTTGGGGAGTTGTTGGTGCTGGACTGAACATTTGTTGCTGGATGTAGTTTCCCCACCCTCCCCAATGGTAGGGCCAAAATTGATCTAGAGTACTCAAAGTAATGGCCACTGAAAGGCTTTAGTGTTCTGCCCGTGTTTTCATAAGGGAGTGAATCAAATATTCAATATTTAGTATTTGTTTATTTAAATTATTAGTGCACTACTTAATATAGCAAAGCATCAATCTGGTTTAGATGCAAAAATATTGAAATTACTGTTAAAATGCAACAAAAGCACTATGAAAGGAATCAATATTCTTTTGTTCACTGGCCTTGAGTCGATGCATGTGCACCAGTAGAAAGAAAGATGCACAGGCTAGCATCTCCTACAGGGCATTCTTACTTTGTAATTGATGTCACCTAGGGACTGACAGCAAGATTTTATACGTGTGTATTCAGAAGTACATTAGTGGCATTTTCTTATTCCAAGGCCGAGCTGCTTGAAGCACACTTCTGCTTTAAACTCATCTGGGGGCCTTGGCCAAGAGGTGGGCAGAAAGAAGATCTCAAGATGTTTTGGACTTCTAGCATTCTTGATTATTGGTCATGCTTACCTGAACTTCTGGGAGCTGCTGTCCAAAGCATTTGGAGGGCTAGGTTTTACCCAGCCTTGCCTTTGGCAAGCAAACTACACTGATTTCCCTTATAGAGCTGTAAGGATTATGGAAATAATGAACATGAAGCACTTTGATCACTTGAACAGTTTTCTAAAGGATGATGATGATGATGATGTAAACTGATTGCTTGAAGTGTACTTCCAATGGGTTGAATTTAGATTCATGTTACAGCAACGGTGCTCATGGAAATGGAATATCCTGGTTCCTCTTTTTGACTTTAGCCTCTCCAGCCCTTTGAAAATGCTTAGCAGAAAGTCAGCATGCCCATTGAATGGAACTGTGGTGCCTGGGGTGGGGAGATCTTCCCAGACCAGGCAAAAGTAAGTTCTATGAGAAGAATCCTGCCTTTGGAAGGTATCCTCCTCTGAGACAAGACATATCCCAGATCCGACCCAACACCATGTCAGAGCAATTGACCAACCACCCCAGAATTGTCCATTCTGGCAGACAGCAGCTCCCAAAGGCTCTGGTAGACACTTTCCCTATTCCTTGATGCCTTTTGTTTTTAACTGGGGATGTAAAGAATTGAATCTAGAATCTTATGCCTGTGAGACCAGAAAGATACTTGACCAGTAAGATACTGGTCGAGTAAGTAAGCAAGGTAGTGAGATTGTCCTGCACCCCCTCCCATTCTGGAAAAATCAAAGAGTTCACTGGTATTGTTCTTTTTGACCTGAGGGTAGCTATGTAAAGATATCTGGGGAATGTGTGCTTCATGGCAGCAAGAACCCTTAGTGCTTCACTTTGGTGGGGAAAGCAGATGAGAAATGCCAAGACTAGCTCAGTGGTAAACTAAACACTTTGCTTTATTAAGGTGTTTGAAATTTATTTATGTAATGCACTGTTAGGAAAGGAAGATGAACTCCGAATGTAACACGAAGCTGATTGATAACATGTTTTCATTGTTTGAAAGGTACGCTTTGTGAGAGATAAATCTGGTGTTGTAAGGATGGCGTAACAACATAGGAAACAAATCACTTATGAAGTTTTCTGATTGATAGGGAAAACGTATTTCCAAACTCTGCTTGTTGCATTCTGTTTTGCCTTGTTTTTGCTTTAAAGTTTGGTATGTTGTTACACCTTTTCTGACTTTGATGATAAGATCAATAAGCCACTAACAGGCAGGGATAACAACAAAATATCCCCACCCCATTCTCCCTGTAAAGTGTTTTGACTAGCCAGTCATGTCCTCTACCAGGATACTATATGTTGTTTTTGGCTGAAGAAGCCATTTCACTTTCCCCTTCATTAATTGTTTTTCATTTTCTCTTGTGATGCTTGACATTCACTGATATTGGTTCTTCCCCAAACAGAACCTGTGGTTAGAAAGCATTACAGCAATATCTGCAAGCTCAAGCTACATACAGCGGTTGCATCTCTGTTCAGTCAGAACTACTTTCCAGCCAGAAGTCTACATTCCTGAAACTTTCTGAACAGTGCAATGCAACTAGGATGCCCATAAGCCTATGTAGGGTTTCGGAAGCACTCCTGCCCTGCGAGGTGGTGGAAAGCTGATTTTTGCTGTCTAGCTCCAGTACTTTGAACAGAGAGGGAAGGAGGAGGAAGCAGTGTCAGGATTCAAGGTATTATGGGGGTTCAGTCTCCTCCCTTCACCAACCCTCTGGAGCATCTCCTTCTCTCACTCATGTCCTTGGAGAAGCAGCTAGTGTGGTCCTTTCCAGGTTGGGCATGATGGGTGGGGAGGGCAATCCAAGCATGGATATCCAGCTCCAAGGTCAGAACTCTTTTCCCAATCTCAGAACTGGGCATCTGAACAATCCTGTGCCCCCAGATGCTGCCTAGGGGCCACGGTATCGCTCTGCCTGGACACTTGTAAATGTCACATAGCTTATGTTTTTGAGTTATGTTCCTCCAGAATTGCCTGTGAAAATGCTAAATAAGCACTTCCTATTATCACAAAGTGCTTGAAAGTAGATTGAAAGAGGTATAAGCAAACACCCCCTTATGCATACACGTCTCAGTCATGACAAAAGAATGATTGTCAACAACAGCCTAAAATGCTATGCAGATGTCAATCACTTTGTGTTGGGGAAAAACTCATTAAATTTTATGCTCAACAGTAATAATTTATGCTGTCAACTGGATGGTTAATCCAGAAATGTTCTTCTTTCCTCCCCAAGGCTGTGCTACTTTTCTAGATACCCAAGATGCTTCTTTTTTAATTGACAAGAGACAATTTGGAGCGACATTCACTGTCTGTTCAATGGTGTGTTTGCAAATGAGCAACTACATCAGCAAGAAGTATGGAAGGGTTAGAGGAAGCTGGACAACTAATTCTCTATTACTACATTATTATAATACTATTAGTAATAATATTAATATATTATATTATATTATATAATACTATTGGATGGGTGTCTCTATCAGTTTCGGATTGGTTCAGTTTCTCAATTTTCCCATGTTAAGGTTCCTTCTCCTTCCTTCCTTTCCTCCTCCTTTTTTTTTGGGGGGGGGCAGTCTGCACAGAGTTGGGTACATTTCTGAGTCCAGTACTGTCTTTTCCCTAATGCATGCAGTCCTTTTGGCACTTTTGGCTAAAGTATGTGTGTTTCCAAGCAATTTCCCTGAAGTTGATGAATTCTTGTAAGCAATTTCATGCATCCCTATGCTATTCTACTGCTGGTAAGTGCACACGGATATATGCATTTCTGTGCATATGTATTTTGCATGAACTTTCAGATTAGAAAACTGCATCACAAAATTGGAAAATGTGTGAATCTCAAGTGCAACAGGGTTTTGGTTAGCATATTGGCATGAGTAGTGAAAATTAGGTAAGTTTGCATAAAAATGCAAAGTGAATAAATTTCTCTCCAGTCCCTAGCTACAGAAAACTCCTGACTAGTCCTAGATAAAAATAAGTCAAGTGCCATCCAGTTACTAAAACACAGAAAGATAAAATCCACATGTAAAATATTCTCAAATAGGAAAAAAAAATCTATGTGCCATTCATCTCCATTCATTTCTTCCTTTTCTTTCAAGGATGTGGGTTTTTGTTTGTTTAAAATACTGATACCCAACATTTCCATATTAATGTTGCAATACTTTACCAATTAAAAATAAGTAAAAGAAAAAAATAATAGACCAGGCAAAGCATTATGAACTGATCTGCGACATGTAGGAGATGAAACAATAGAGCACTAGAGACACCATATGCTACAACTGAAAGGAAACTTCGATTAAAATCAAAGATAGAACCACATTTTAAAGTTCACTAAGCTAAATCATGTTTCATTTATACTATGTGGAATTGAATGCAGCTGCCTAGAAGACTAAGCCCATCTCCATATTTTGTGATGCCCCTCTCATTTCCAAGAAAATACGAAAATTAACAACAGTTGCATATAATAAAATTAGCAGTATTTTGTGCATTTAAAATTCATATATTGCTACAGAGAATGTGCAGAGAAATGTATCACTGAATCCATGTTGAATTGATATGGGAAAGAAACTGATTTGTTCATATGTAGATCCAAGTTGGTTGCACTTAAGGGCCCATTGAAATCAATGTGACAATCTAGGAACTGTCAATGATTTCAATGGGACCCATACCAGTCTTTTTCTGGATCATAGAGAATAACAATGGAGGAGGCTGGTGGACATCTTCAGAAGGTTATTCCAAAGAAAGTATCTGCTACCTTAATTTGCTTCACCTATGAAGGTGGGTAAGAGAGGCATCAAACCTGTGTGTGTAATAATATAGATGGATGGGGATTCTGGAGAACTGGGCTCTATTTGAGGGTGTTCAAAGATAGGCTAGACATGCACATGGTGGGCATGTTGTGAGTGGAGCCAGCTGGAGTTGGGGGTCAGACTAGATGGCCCGGGAGGCTCCTTCTCACTCACTCTGTTTCCATGTATGTTTCTATTTCCTCTCAGTCATGAAACTCACTTGGTGACATTGGGCCAGTCACTGCTTCTCGAGCTACCCCAAATAATGTCAGAGGCTGGGCTTTACACCTGGGATTTCTCCTTCTAAACAGATCAAGACAAGATGTGTCTACCTACAGTCTTTATTATGTTTAGCTGGGCCAGCCAAGCTGGCTTTGTGATACAAAAGGAGCATTTAAGAGATTGGCAAGTAAATTGGGGAGTTTATTTATTTATAGCATATTTATTTCAAAACAAGGAAGGAACAAAACTGGTCTAACATAATCTCACAGGACCAAGCTGTTCCCAAAAGCCTGCCATAACAGAAAAGTTTGTGCCCTGACACACCTGCTGACTGCTCAGAACTGCTGTGGGGCAGCCGGGGCAGCGGAAAATGTGCTGCTATCCATGGAGAACCTCTCTCAGGGCTGAGGTCAAGTGCAGGCATTGTTGGGCACCTGCCAAGAGCTCAGTAGAACCCCTGACAAAAGTCTCCCAGAGTTTCCCTTTCTCCCTTTGTCTTTTGCTCTGGCCCAGGCAACCGTGGTACAGAGGCAGCCAGTGTCATTGGCTGTGTGCTCCCTTGCTCTCTGCTTACCAGAGAAGCAAAACTGAGGAAGAGGATAAGGAGGAAACCACAGCGGGTGACATGGCAATGTGAAGGCGGGTTTACTGAAGAAGGGCCATTGAGGATGCGTTCTAAAACCTGGCCACATGATTGCAACCTCAACATGATGATGAGGTTGCATCATCCCAAGGTGTGTAGAGACCTGTTTTTCCCTGCAGAGGAAAGTAGGACACGTTCCAATGGAGCAAAGCTCAGAGAACCAAGGCTCAATTTGGATGCCAGGAAATACTTCCTGACAGTTAGGACCCTGAGGGTATGGAATGGGGTCCAGAAGGACCACCACAGGAGGTGGTTGAAGCCCCATCCATGAGAGTGTTCAAGGACAGGCTGGACATGCACATGGTGTGCTGTGAAGCTGGCTGGAGTTGGGGGTCACACTAGATGGCCTGGGAGACCCCTTCTGACTCACTCTGTTTCTATGTTTCTATGATTATTTTAAGCTGTAGAATGGGGTGCACAAGATCAATAATGAACAGGATGTTCCCCATACAAGCCAAAAATCATCACAAAAAGCAAAAGGAAGCAGCAGCAAGCAAACCCAGGCACTAGTTATTAAAGCTTTTAAAAAGCCAGGCTTTAAAAATAAGAAACAAAACAGTCCATTATTCACTATGGCTAGAGCCTTCTTCTGTTGGACAGCAACATGCAAAGTTCCCAGTACAGTCCCATTTAGTGGATTCCAGTAAGAAGGAGGCATTTTGAAAGCTTTTTCTGCCTGTTTAATGGAAAGTGATTTTTGTATGAATTTCATTTTACTAATTTGAATACAGCCATGCCCTTCTTTAGTTCTTATTCATTTTAAACGTTTTTTTCTGTGGATGCCCCCTTTGCATTGTGCCTAATATTTCATTCACTCATTTGCTCACTCAATACGATATTCCCTTTAACTCTTTTTAAAGTTCACTCAGCTTCCAGGTAGCTTTTTCATCTTTAAGTATAGCAGATTTTGCAAGGTGCACTGCCAGGCTTCCTGTGCATGGTGTGTTTTATTCTCTGTGCTGAAAGCTGGATTATCATTTCAGCGAACACACTTTTTTTAATCTTGGAAAGGAGGGGGATCCCTCCCCCCACTACATCCCCAACCAGATATAGTGCCTTGAATATATTATTATGCTGCCTTGAATATATTATTAGCAAGCTATGGTTGAAATAGCATATTTTTAACGAAGTTAACTTCACTGTTTTCCCAACTTTTGGGACCCAGGGTGCAATCCTATGCACGTTTAGACAGATAGGATAGCCTATACCTTTCTGGGAGCTGGATGCCTTTCCCCCTAAACATGCATCTAGATGGCATCTCTATTTAACAATTGTGGATAGGAAGATTTGAAACGGAATATGGATAACTATAAGATCCTGAGGCACATTTTTGAAAAGAAAAAAAGCCTAAAGCTGGATAGCTGAAGGAGTGTCTCCTTCCCTGTGTGACTGCCTGCCCCTTAAGATCTGGGTTGGAGGTCCTTCTTTGGGAGCCCTCTTTGAAGGAGATTAGGAGAGTGGCTACCTGGAGAAGGGTCTTTTCTGTGGGGGTGCCCCGGCTATGGAATGCACTCCCCATAGGTTTGCCTGGCACTGACACTTTGTTCCTTTCAGCACCAGACAAAAACCTTTTAATTTCCCCAACATTTTAAGGTTTAATTGTTATTTGAATTGGGGTTTTATAGAATGACGTGATGCTGAGCTTTACTTTATTTATTGTAAGACCATCCTGAGACTTTTTGTAATAGGATGTTATAGAAAATAAATGAATTTTAGGAGCTCAGCCATTTTTTCCCTGTGCATTTTCATCTCTATACAAAATGCACCCCGAAAACCTGCAGTGGAGTGGTTGGGAAGCAGCAAAGCAAGAGGACTGTAGGCCCTGAACTTGTGCAACTGAACTTGGGCCTCTCTCCAACTGACTGAGCCAAAGCTGAGATGTAGCTCCTTCTTTTTAAGCTACATCCTGGGGATCCTCTTTGGGCCCAAGGGCCGCATCCTGTTTCAGAGATGCTGTCGGGGACCACTTTGTGGTGCAGGGCTGGGATGTTGGCAAAGGAGATGGGGCTGAAGACAAAAGGGGTAGGCCAGCAACATGAATATATAAATTTCCTCCTGCCAATCGCTCAGCCTTACGAAAGGTCAGAATGGGGTGGGGGATGCTCATGAACTAGGAAACCTCCAAAAATGGTAGTTGGGGGTGGGGTTAGATTTAGTGGGTGTGGTCACATAGAGAACCCAGTGGACTGGACTTGGCCCCTGGGCCTGAGTTTTCCCACTCCTGTTTTAAGGTGGGGTATTTACCCCTATTCAAGTGGGCCCATACATGGACTGGCTAATATATATACTACCTGATTATTATAAAATCTCAGGATAGTTTACATGAAAGGCCAAATATATAAATATATATTAAAGTCATATATAGTTAAACATAGTTAAATCTCCTGTGCTCTCTCCCATGTTATCTCCGAATGCCTCTCAGCCCTGAGAGGTGGGGGTGTTGCAAAAGGAAGGCACATAGGGAGGTCCCATTGTTGCAACAAAGCCCCACTGATTTTTCTCTGAATCCCACCCCATGCCAATTTTGTACAATGCTCGGAAAATATATGAACCAAAGGAGAGACCAAAGAAGATACTAAAGGCACAATCCTATGCATGTTTAGACAGAAAAAAACCCCTATAGTTCCCAGAACCCAGCACAACTGGCTGGAGCATGATGGGAAGTGTAGGATTTTTCTGTCCAGATATGCATAGGATTGCACCTGTTTGGAAAGTCCAAATAAATCCTCAAATAAAAAGTTATGTTTTTGTGTGTCCTTTAATATAAAATCTGGCAGCAGTGCCCTTGCTCCTCTCCACTCAAAGGAACTAGAACTTTTTGCCCAGCTCCACATGTCTGGGAAAAGCAGGTGGCCCTGGGGGCTCCATTATTCACGCATTTTCTCACAGAATCAGACAAGCTCCTAGATGAAACGGCACTGAAACAATGATTGTAAGCCATTGGAGAAGCTTTGCGTCCTTTGCAATGCAAAAATACCTAGCCAGCTCATCCTTTGTCTTATGCCAGCTCACGCTTTATCTTAAGGAATTCTGTATCTCTGATTGAAAAAAATGCATCATTTAAACCTGTTAGAGTTCTGTAACTCCCTGCTTGTTTCATTTGTTATCTGCTACTCAAGCCTTCAATGGGTCATGATGTTTTTCATGAAGCCTATAATGATTTCTCAATGTTTCTGTATTATTCCCCATTGTCCTCACTTTCTCACCCATTCAAAATCTCACCACTGCCCTGATACTGTGTACTTGACCCAAAACATATAAAAAACTCTGCATGTGCTCATAGCCAGTTTAGTCAGGCACAGAGCACTTACCTGAGCGTGAATGTATGTAACCCATCAAACTAGGATGGCAAGTCCACTGTAGGAGTTAATGCTGCTGACTACTGGATGGATATTCAGCACCCTTCCATAACCTGACAGACTTCAGACCACACGTCCCATGATTCCCAGCCAGCCTGGCCAAAGGAAGCTCTTGGAGGGCATCAGCTTGGAAGGCTGGTACACAGAATAGAGCTCATATCATTAACGTGTAGGAAGCTGATGTTCTGCAACCACCTGCATTCTGGATTTCTTCTTCATGTGTTTCATGGGGAGGGAAACCAGGAACACCAGAAATACAACAAGGACTTCTGGTTGCAGTTTTTAAATCACCAACTTTTCTAGCAAATAAAATCCTGCATTGAAGTCTTGCCAGTTGAAATGCACAGGATATAGGTGAGATGTGTGCATCTACCCATCCATCCATCCATCAATCCACCTGCCTGCCTGCCTGCCTGTCCCTTTGTTTCTAGGTCACCTAGAACCCTCTTGACTAAATAAAAACTGGCAGGCATGGTTGCTAATAGGAAATAAATTTGCTCTGAGCTCAGAACCAACACTTGGACAAATAATTTGCAAACTGGGAGCAAGGTTCAAGTCACCTCTAGAAATGGAAGCCCGTGTCTTTCCACCCTGTCAGAAATGATCCTACCCTGTGTGACTGCCTTGGTTTATTGGAAGATGGTCTGTTAAAGGAAAACAACACAGAAATGATACGTGAACTGAGTGTATGAGTGAGAGTCAAGTGAAATGTATAATCCCAAATCCTATAGAAGGTTGCACTTTGTACCATAATTCATGTTGATCATGTCCTGCTTTATTATCATACTCACCTCTAACAAGAAGTTCAGCTTCATCTGATATACTGTCTGCTGTAGTCTGTACCCGGCAGCCATATCTCCCAGCATGCACTAGAAGAATGTTCCTGATCATTAAATCTGCAGAGGATGCTTGCTGGGGGGTGGGGGGGAGGGAAAAGAAGTGATACAATGGCACCAGCTTAAAAATATCAGTAATCTTTGTTTTTTAAAAAAGGCAAACAGCATTTATTATTTTGGAGGTTCTTAGTCCAATCTGACTAATTCCTGACTCACAACACACACCAATCTCAACAAGTATTCTAATAATATCTCAGTGGTATGATGTTTATCAACATGCCAGTTCAGATTACGCTGCGTCGGGCCACTGGTACATGTGCCCAGCTGGTTTCCACTGGTAGCAACCACTCAGGTGGTTGGTCTGTGTCTTCTGCAGCCCACTCTCTGCAGTTTGGAACTGGAGATGCTGGGCATAGACTGGGCACCTTGCACATGCAAATCATGTGCAATGGGTCCTCTCCTGAAATACTTCCTATAGCATTTACAAACATGCCACCGCCTACAAAACCTTCCCGACTGTCCCAGGGACCACCTTGCAAGATAGATCAGAAAGGTCCACATTTCAGAAATAGGAAACAACAGGAAGAATTCATTAGTATCATAGAATCACAGAATAGTAGAGTTGGAAGGTGCCATGAAGGCCATCAGGTCCAACCCGCTGCTGTTGCAGGACACCAAGTTACACCATCCCACTCAGATGGCTGTCCAGTTTCTTTTGGAATGTCTCTAGTGTGGGAGAGCCCACCACCTCTCTAGGCAGCTGGTTCCACTGTTGTATTGCTCTGACAGCGAGGAAGCTTTTCCTGATATCTTAGCCTGGGCTGTTGCAGCTTGAAATAATTATTCTGTGTTCTACACTCTGTCATCAGCAGGAACAGATCTTGACCTTCCACTCTGTGACAGCCTTTGAGGATACTTATAGAGAGATATCATGTCCCCCCTCAGTCTTCTCTTCTCAAGGCTGAACATGGCCAGTTCTCTCAGTCTCCCCCCATAGGGATTCCAAACCCTGGATCATTTTTGTTTCCCTCCGCTGGACCCTTTCTAATTTACCTGCATCTTTCTTAAATCTTAGTGCCCGGAACTGGACATAGTATTCCAGATGAGGTCTGACTAGTGAGGAATATAGAGGAGCTACTACTTCTCGTGATTTAGAAGTAAAACTTCTACATTTGCCCTTTCAGTGGCTGCATCACACTGTTGGCTCATATTTAGCCTCTTCTCCACAACTGCTCCAAGGTCTTTTTCTTTTTCAGTTCTTTTGAGCCACATATTCCGCATCTTGGTGGGTAATGGTGTCTGTTTTGCACATGCATTCATACACTAACTCTTACCTATTTTCTTTATGATTGCATTTTATTGATACAGGATTATCTGAGTGGCTTTCATATGTTTTATTGTACTTACCATATTTTACTTATGCATTATAAGAATATATATTTGGCTGATATTCAGCTCTGATGAACTACTTCTAACCTGCGATGAGGCTGTGAAGTTATTTTCCAGTGGCATGATGAGAGAGACCCATTTTCCTATGGTGTAATCTGCTCAGCTGTGTGTGGAAATGGTGGCTTATTTCTAGATTTTTAAGCCACGCAGCAGAGTTAGTTTTTCAATGCACCATAAAAGAGTGTGTTTTAAAGAGCATGATAACACTAAGACAGAGTAAGCATGTAGCTATTTGCTTACTTCTTAAAAAATAGAGAGAGGCTGGTGATAAAGTAATCTTCTTAAATTGCAACCACAGTTCTTAGAACTGCTCTGCTCTATTGAATGACAACAACACATTGTTCCTTTCAATATCGAAGAGGGAATATGATGAGGTTTAGGAGGGATGCCTTTGTGCTGAACTGCAATTTCACTTATATAATATATCATTACTGCATTGGAAATAGTTTTGGTCTTTTTAGTTTACTTAATCACTCTCTATTTTTTTATTATAACCCTCTGCTTCACTGCAGAGAATGCCTTGTAACTTGAAGAACATACAAGAACATAAGAAGACCGAAAGTCCATCTAGTCCATCATGGTGACCAGCCAGCTGTCCCCACAAGTAGGACATGAATGCAATGATGACCCCCATTCAGGTTACCCAGCAACTCAGCACATGGGAATATTGCCTCTGACACAGGAGGTGGCATGCGGCTATCAGGATTAGAAGTCACTGATAGCCTTCTCCACCATGCAGTTCTCCAGTCCTCTCTTAAAGCCAATCAAATTGGAGACCATCATAAACTTCCATTGAAGTGAATTCCATAGTCTAACTATATGCTGTTTGAAGAAGTCCTTCCTTTTGTCTGTCCTGCATTTACCAGCTTCTCTGAATGGCCAGTTGGGTTTCCAGTATTATGAAGGAGAGAGAACAAGGCCTTCCTACCCACTTCCCCCATATTATGCATAATTTTGAACATTTCTATCTTCCTTTACACACTTTTTCCTTAGGTTAAACAGCTGTTGTAGCTGTTTCTTATAGTGAAGTTGCTCCAGCCACTTCACTGTTTTGTTTTCCTACACCTTTCTACCTCTATAATACCTCTATAGTGGTAACCAGTAGTGTGCATGGTATTCAAAGTATAGATTTTACTGGTGATTTCACCACAGCACAATGGCTAGATCTTGGCACAGATTGCAGGGAGGGGTATACCAAAAGCCAGTGGAATGAGATGGGCCATTCCAACAAAGGGCCACCACCAAAAGTGGCAGAACCAGGTTGAGTTCTCGCACTATGTCCTGCAGTGTTCATTCAAGCTTAAGCTACAGTTCTATGGCTTTGGAGTGATGGGATGAGGATTCACATACTGTTTAAGCCCAGGCTGCAATATCCCTGGACACAGAGGCACTTCTAAGGAACTTTACAAATTTAACACTAAAGTTCTCACTTACCAGTGCCATATCAAATTATAAATTGCACTATAAGTAGTTGCAGAAGTATTTGTAAGCACGTTCAGCTGCACATACTTACAAATTTCCTGCATCAATTTGAGCTTAACCGGTGACAATTTACAGAAGAAACAGCATGTCCTGATGTTGGCTGTAGGGCTTGTGTCTCTGCCTTCATTCCCACCAAATTCTTAATTATCCATGTATAGGCTGAAGGTCTGCATGGGTCATGTTAGTCTCCAGCAGTAAAAAGAAGAGGCCTGATTAAATCAGACCAAAGGCCTATGTACTTTTTGTATTTTGTTCAAATGATGACAAGTCAGCTACCCAAGGAAACCCCAGAAGTGGAAGAGGACCCTTCAACCCATGTTCAGCAATGTGCGGGAGACAGAGGCATGCTGGGTTTTTCTACACAAGACTATTAATTTGCTCTATCTGCACCACATGAAAAATAGTTCCTTTCCTGCTTTTCCATGGAATCACCTCCAGGTGGGGCTGTGCTATAGCTGAATAGACCAAATGCACAAATGGATTTTTTTTTTTTGTTTTCACAAAAAATAATGCTCTGAACAAGCAAACAAAACCTTTCTGCAAGTGCTCCTGAAATGCAAAAGTGAAGCCAGAAAGGCACAATATTATCCAAAGAACTTGTAAAAAACTGCTGAGTAGCATATGAGTGCATGATAAATTTCTTGTCTAGAAAAGCTCATACTGGAGGGAGCAAATAGCCATCATGACAAGAAGCCACTGACAAACATATCTTGTTTAATCCCATACTAAGACTACCCATAATGGAGGCTAGCACCACACTTTCTGGAAGTGAATTCCACAGTCTGAAATCCCCCACCATTCAGCATCAAGGGATGACCCTGGGTTCTAGCATTATTTATTTATTTAGAAAATTTCTATGCCGCCCCATTCGCCGAAGCCTTGGGGCGGCTCACAAATATATCAAATAAAATATTATACAATAAAAATATAAAACAAGTTAACAATATAAAATAAGTCTAATAAATTATGGGAGAATTTTATGCACCTCTGCCACGCCTCCCCTTCTTTACCAATATCCTTTTTCTCCAAAGGAAGGAGATCCTGTAAATATTCCTTCCCTGGAACTTGTTACCACTTGAGTAAATGAAATCAGAAAATAATAATATGTTGCACTGAAACTTACCTATAAGGTCTATCTAGAGACAATGGACAATTCGAGCTCTGAATAAGTGTTAAAAAAACCAACACCCCATAAGTGATTTCCCACTAATAACATGACTCTTCCTTGTGTATATCAAGTCTGACAGATATGTTGACTGATCTAAGACAATTGCTTGAGCAAAAGCTACAAAGCACCAATTCCCATGTTTCCACTGTGAAGCTTTGGGATCTCTCGGGTACTTCACAACCCAGCTAGTTCATTGTGGCTCCAAAGATGGACGAAGTGATGAATCACTGTATTTCACTTCAGCAAGGTGTCATCTTGGGGATACAAAGTTTGCAACTTGTCTAGTGTGACAACGCTTATTAGCCATGAAATATAGACTATTCAAGAAGATGAATGCTTTCGATATAAAACTATAGATAGTTAAAGGGTAAGACCAAAATCAGTCCACATTTTCTTTCTCCTCTGAGAATAATTTACATTTAATGGGAGCTTTGCTGTTAAAGAAAATAAAAGTATCAGATATACAGGGATGTCTGGCTTTATTGCCTTGCTGCTTTTAAAAATTGTAGCTGACAGGATGCGAGAAGGGTTCACAGAGATTGAATCCTAATGTGCTCCTCAGGAAAGCAAATGTGTATTCAATCTACATAGCTAAATGGCAGTCGGGTGGCAACCCGATGAATCATAGCTTTTCGGGTGGCAGGGAGAGGTGCAATAAAATAGAATCCTGTAGAATACAGTTATTTCAGCAAAATGGATTAGGGGTGCTCTCCAGCAGGTCAGTCTCACTCCCATCAGTGCCCATCAGCTCTGTATTACCACCTTGCGGTGACTGAAGCAAGCTCCTGTTTGGTGCTGTGCCTGCGATTGTACAAGTGGGAGAACCGGTCCAAGGACCTGGGAGGTCTCCTTGCATTGCTGGTCGATCCAAAGAGGATGATGGATGTTGCGGTGCTAGATATTTGAGTCACATTGCCTGCAAAGGGTCACTAGGGGAGGAATCAGTTAATGGGTATCAGGGACTGACCTTTCCCCATCCTTCATTAAGCACTCCTCCTTCCTCTCATATCTGCAGAATCGTACCTTGGAGGCAAGACCCTCATGCAGAAAGATAGGTATGGCTGGCTCTCTTCCAGCCATGCTGCCTCCTTTGGGCTTGGATGGGCTTTAAGCTGAACCCGCCTGAACAGATCTGCATGCAAGTGTCTGCCAGGTGATTTACGAGCAAAATATCCAGTTTACGTTTAATCCTAAACATCCTTCCAAATCCTAACACACCTGTGCAATGAATAACCTTGCAGATGAGTAAGCTAGAAAAAAAAAATCTGTATATACTCTGCCTTCTCATTACTCTCTAGCATCATTTGATGCCCGTTTAGAAATTAGTACATGGCTAAGTCATAGCAGCTTTGCCTATGCATTAAACTTCACATGGTGTTAATCCTGTAGCATGTTGCCAACTCTTGTCTTTTTATCAAAACAAGCACAGCAAGGATCCTTTAAATGCAAACTAGCATGGGGTTGGTTTGGGCCAGGACCACCAAGCTTCTTCCTTACATCATTATTCCTAAGTTCCCTGGTAGGAATGAAAATTTGACTCTATTGCATTGCCTTCATGATTTTTTTATTGTGCCACTCAAAGCCAGAACCAGTTTGGTTGGAAAATTGGTTTCCTCCTTCTTGGTGTTCCCCCTCACGACGTCATAAAAGTGTACTTCCCCACCAACAGGTAATGGGGATCGGTGCAGCCCAACATGGAGAAGAGACACACTGAAGTAGGCTCATCCATCTTAATTTCCCAGAATTGGTTCTAATATAGTGGAGCCCAGAGGATTCTGGGGAAATAAAGATGGAGGTGGTTGCACCCTTGCCTTTTCTCTTTGCACTGCTGGGTTTAGCACTGCCATCTTTAAGTGTATTTCAATGTAAAAAGAAAAAGCAGAAGGAAATGGTATGTGTGGAGCTAGTGCCAATTGCGATGGCCTCATCCTTTACCCCACTGCTGTAGAAGTTTATGCTGCACCCGTGATCCATTCAGGAAGTGGGTAGAAAGCTGCATGTTTGGATGTTCCCCCAGCACTTGTCACGATCTTCAATTAGACACCGAGTGTGTCATTCCAAGAAAAAAAAGCGCAGTTCCAACATGGCGTTTGTGCAGTTAAAACTACAAGCTATGCTGAGGTTGCATGATGTGAGCTGCTGAAAAAAAATATTGATAATAATGTGAAAAGTAAGTAGTCTATGCTCCTCTCTATGACCCCACCACTCCCCACATTTTCCTTCCATCCATGGGGAGTCGCCTCCCCAGCCTGAAGATTGCACTCCTGCTCTCCAGAGTGTCCACGATGAAGGCAATAATTCCAGGAATTATTTCCCCCTTTCCTGACAAGTCATCCAAATCTGTCAGTGATATGATAAGGGCAAGGAGGCCAGGAAATATCCAGTGCAGCACTGTTAATTGGGAATGCTGTACTCTGTTTGTGCATCTGTTCCCCCAGGCCTAATTCTTAGATTTTTAAAAAACCATCCCTCTTGCTGAAGGTTTTGTTGGATTTCATGATGCCCCGTATGTGAAGCTTAAATAATATAACACTTTTCTGTATTAGTGCTGTCAAGTTCTCAGTTCTGTGTATTTTCTGTCACTCTGCGAAGGCTTCTAAATGTCACAGGAAGTGGCTCTAAGCCGTTCAGCATATGTGCTCACACACAAGGGGAATGTTTAGGTGTGCTGTGAAGGGACATGCTTCATGTGCAAATTACAGTCACATATCACTGTGCTGTTCAACATTTTTCTTTAAAACATTCCTGTGTTGTTTTATGTAAAAGGTCTACGTACAGGGAAAAGAAGCATGTCAGAAAGATACCTTCATTCACTTTTCCTTTAAGGCACTCTTCTTCAGGAAATATTTTACCCCAATGTGGGAGGATATTCAAGCATGCAACATCCAGCTGGAATTTGAAGTGGCATCAGCCAGAAAGAAGTGCCTTCATTCTGAGAAATATACACTGGCCCTTACTGATGGTGCTTGAAAGAGATGGCTGCAGTAAAGAGGAAGATGAGGAAAGGCGATTCCCCGTCCCTGGCATCACCCCGTTGTGTGTGTGCAGAGCCCCACTGTTTTCCTGCACTGATGACACACATAATATCCCACCATTGTTACTGTGCTGAGGAAAGAATTCACTAGGAACTTGAAGAAAGGGTTAACGAGAGTGTTTGAGTCGGAGTGGAGAAAATGAAAAGGGATGTACACAGTGCTGCACTCAAGTAATGAGAAAAGAAGTTACGCTCTGGCCTTGGTGATGAAGGGGAAATGGCACCCTGGAAATGTAAACTTTGCTTGGTGCCCCATGTGCTCCAGAAGATGCACCTAAGTGTGCTTAGTTACCCTAAAAGAGCAAAAGAAGTACATCCATCTGCTGCTAAACTGTTGACCATTCGGGATAAAGGAGGCAGGACAGAAGCATTACATTCCACAATGTCATTTGTTATTACTTCTTACTAATCATTTACATGCAAGATAATAGAGCTTCCTGTTAGTATTTGTGTGTGCAAGTGTTTTAGTTTGCAAGGGCTTCCAAGATTCAAATCAGGGAGAAGGCTCCAGCCATTCCGGGGACTAAATTTGGAGTCCCACCACAGCAGCCTTTCAAAATCTTTTCAACGATGATGCCCAACATTCCTGACTATTGGGCTACGCTGGCTGGGGCTGATAAGAATTGAAATCCAAAGCATCTAAAAGGAACCAGGCTGAAGAGGGCTGCATTATAGGAAGTAGTTTGCCCAGTTGCATGGGCTCCGGCAAACTCCTTTCTCTTTATTCCCAGGTTCCCATTCCCAGACCAGTAAATACAGGGGACTCAACAGGACCACATGTGAGGAGTTGCTATTGTTCTCAGTACAATGGTATAAAATACAGACAAGGAAATAATCTGGAGTGTGCTTTATGTAAATTAATTTTTGTAGGCAGCATTCCTCTTTCCTATAGTTCAGCAACTGATGATTTATCCTTCCTGAAGCTGGCTGGGTGACAGGAAGGATTGTTTGGGAATTTTTTACAATGGACAGGAGCAAAAAAAGCACACACACCACACACAAAATCTATATTTGGATCGATGTTATGTTTTGGATTCTAAGATATACTAATTGCTGGAATATTACTGAAGGAAAGCTTCCCAGTCACTTCTCCCACCTGCAACTCTCTGTGTTCCCAGAAATACTCTCCTGAGGACTTGCTAATCATTCCAATTAATTTAACGGATCATAATGATTTTAACTGGATTTTTAAAAATACAAGGCTTACATATAAAAATATTGGATTGCAATGTTTGTGACTGCACAGAATCATGCAAGATAAATCAAACTAAATGAAATGCGTGCATAACATTTACTGAAATTTGTGCTTTGCTGTTGTAATACCTCATAAAAGATAATCAGGTTTCTATTTTAATAATTCTTGTTTAAACTAGTTTAATGAGGAGTTTACTGCAGACCAGAAACATAAAATTGTGTTCCCAAAGGATAGTCTTCTTCTTTAAAAAAGAGAAGGAAAAAAGTAAGATCTTTCTCACTAGATCTTTCTCACCAACAGCCACACCAATGCAATTCACTGCTATTTTACTTCTTGATTAAAGCTAATATTCCCATGTTTCAATTAACTCAAATGAGAGACTTAATTCTGTGAGCTAATATCCCTTCCTCCCTTGCTTCTTTCCTTCCTTTCCTCCTCTTTCTTTTTTTAACCTTGACTGTAATTACATTTCTTTCAGTCTGTTTGAAATGTTGCAGGGAAGAAATGCTTTTCTAGCCAGGAGTTTCCATGTGAGTTTCGCAAGGAGAATGGATCTGAAGCAGTGCTCACCGCTCGGATGCTTTCGAAGTGTCCTCCTTCTTTCTCAAAATCGATAGGCTTCCCATTCAGAGTCCAGTGGAACATGACGTCTAAAGTGGGATCATGAATGGCTTTGCAGCTGAGGACAATGCTTTCTCCCACAGTTAGCTCTGTTCTCTTAGGAGTCAGGTCTATCTTGGTAGGCTCTAAAAAGACAAAAGGAATCAAGGGCAGTTATACCTAATGAGAAGGAAGGACTCCCTGGAGAAGAGCCTAACGCTGGGAACAATTGACGGCAAAAGAAGAAGGGGACGGCAGAGGATGAGATGGCTAGATGGAGTCACTGAAGCAGCCAGTATGAGCATAAGTGGACTCCGGGGGACGGTGGAGGACAGGAAGGCCTGGAGGAATGTTGTCCATGGGGTCCCAATGGGTCGGACATTACTTCGCGACTAACAACAACAACAACAACCTTACATACCCAGCTACCAAGGGGTTATGTCTGCAATTTTTGCTGCTCTTCTCAAGAAGAAAAATATTTTACAAAAGAAAGGAGTTGCTAGTTGTCCCTGATCATCACAAACTGTGGATTTCATGGTGCATTAGAAGCCCAGGGACAGGGATGGGTAAGGAATCTGTTGGCGGGCAAGGGAAGCCATCAGATTTCCTGGGCTTGGCTCCCTAGACGCCAGGCCACATTGCAGCTTTGCTGAGTCTGGTTGCTGGTGAGCACCAGCATTCGTGGTGCTCACCAAGAACTGAACCCCACATCCTGTGCAAGCAGCACCCCTCTTCTGCACCACCTGTAGCAGCCATTGGGGTGCTCCTGATGCACCTGATGTGAACCTTCCTTCTGTGAGCATTCGTGGACTCCCTCTCTGCTTGCAAGACTGGGTTGACTATGAGAGAAAGTCTGCAAATGTGACAACTCTACCCTGGAGGCTAAGTAGTGCTGCAGCTCAGGATGGACCTCAAGGCTGTAGTCCAGGGCCCCACAACCAACTACTCAGGTTATGGGGCAGTGACAAAGTGATCTGGCATCAGCATGGCAAGTCAGGTCCCTCCTGAGCTGGCACTGGTTTCTGCAGGATCTTCTCTTTCTTCTAGTCTCCTAGTCTTCATATTCTATCATCTGGGGACAGCTGTCTGGCTTGCACATGTTTGGAGATGTTGCTTTCATTACTCTCACTTCAAAATAGTTCTTTCCCACCAGTAGCATCTGCAGTGTTGGTTCATATGGGATGAAATAGCATGAGGCATCATGTGGAAGTTTTAGAGTAGCTTCCACAAGTTGATGTCCTGCAAAAGCATTGGTTGACAACTCTCAGCATTGCCAGCTGGTGCTGCCCATTAGCCAGTCTGGCAGGGAATGAGAAGCCCCCACCTGACTCTTCTGAAGGGCACCAGGATTGGCATGCATTCTAAAGGAATACTTCTACCGATGTACTCATGCATCGCTTGGCTGGTCTGACACAATGAATCCCCCAGAAAATTATTTCACCATCTCAGGTCCTGGTGACATTTGTTGTGAGGAAGGCCAAGAAGAATAGGGGAATTCCTCCCTAGTGTTTTAAATATAAGCTAACCAAGCAAACCACTACCCATAACAGGGGTGAGGTTTAACCATGGTGAAAGTGGGTGCCAACCACTGGAGAGAAGCTCCAACCTCCTGCATTCATCAGTTCTATACCGCTTCAGATCCAAGACACCAAAGGTAGTCCCCTGCTAAGGATGGGTGTAGAAGTGATGCTTGAGATCACATGGTCTGAACATCAGTTTGCGGCTTGTCTTGTGCCTGGTTCCCATTCAGGCCTGTGCTTGCTGCTTGCTCCGGGAGAATGGGAAGCTTGCACAAATAGTGATCAAACAAGACATTTGCACAAAAGTCTTAGTTAACACAATTTCCCTCAAGAGGCTTAAAGGTAAAGGTAAAGGCAAAGGTTTCCCCTTGACATGAAGTCCAGTCATGCCTGACTCTAGGGGGCGGTGCTCATCTCCGTTTCCAAGCCAAGGGAGCCAGTGTTTGTCTGCAGACAGTCTCCGTGGTCATGTGGCCGGCATGACTAAACACCGAAGTGCACGGAATGCTGTTACCTGTCCACCGAAGTGGTACCTTTTTATCTACTCGCATTTGCATGCTTTCGGACTGCAAGGTTGGCAGGAGCTGGGACGGAGCAACGGGAGCTCACCCCATTGTGTAGATTCGAACCAGCGACCTTTCAATCAACCAGCCCAGCAGCACAGTGGTTTAAACCACTGTGCCACCTGCAGCCCTCAAGAGGCTTAGAGTGGGGCTAATTCTGTCTACAGGGGAAATGGAAGCAAATTACAAAATGTGTGTAAATCAAGCTGAGATTCGGGAATGAGATGAATGTGGTGTGTATTCAACACTTTCTGAATATTTTTGCTGGGGGCATGCTTGCCTGCATTCTTGAATTCAGAGCTTCAGATGGGGCATGCTCCCATGTTTGGTCAGCGAAAATGAAGTTTTCATATATCCCTACCCAGCACTGGCTGTGCATCATGAACTGCAAAGTAGTTCTGAGAGCTGGTGTGGTGGTGATAGTGTTGGACTGGAGGCCTATGAGGTCTGGGTTCTAGTTCCCACTCAACAATCAAGTTCACTGGGTGACTTTGGGCCAGTCACAGACTCAGCCCAACCTACCTCACAGAGTTGTTGCTATGAGGATAAAATGGAGCTATGTATGCTGCCCTGGGTTCCTTGCAAGAGGAAAAAATGCAGGACTTTAATGCAATATGATGAAGAAGATGACATCAATGCTGACAATGTCTTCAAACTCTAGTTTGCTCTTCAAGAGCAAATGCAGAAGATTTATCAACAGGGCTGGCCTGTCACAGTTTGGTCCCTAAAGAGAAGGGAGAGATAATCCTATCTGTACAAATGGACTGGTAGTTGAACACTGGAAACCAGCAGACTAGCTTATATGAGTGCAAGGTTGACTGGACAACACACAGAGACTTCTTCTTCAGCAACTCACCGCCCATCCGTGTCCCCCAAATCTGCCACTTGGGACAGCTATCCCACAGCACTGAAAGGCAATGTCACCCCAATTTATCAGCTGTGAGAGGTTGATGTATGAATGACTCACCCCGTATACAGAAACGGTTGTCTCTATCGTCCATAGGAATCCACAGATTGTCTAGACACTTAGGGCTGGGGGTTAACACTACCAAGCACTTCAGTTGGTGAATTCCAGCCAGACCACTCACAGTCTCTCTCACCTTTAACAAATACAGAAGCTGCTATTTCCGCTGAGCCAAAAACGTTCTCTCCTCTGCATGCATATCTTCCCTCATCCGATTTAGAGGCATTCACGATTCGTAGGCTCCCATCTGGAAGAACAGTTATCCTGAAAATTATAAAAAAGGTTTTTATCCTGAAATAGCATATGCAGAATTATCGCAAATGCAGACAAGTGCAGCAGAATCATCTTTTGTCAGCCTTATAAATAGCATTATGGATTCCTGCCGATATTTCTGAGGAAAGATGAGAATGCCAATTGAATTTGCCAGTCTTTCAAATAAGGCGGAAATAAACTCATTTTATTCTCTCTCCTTCTGTAATACAAAAAGGTCCAAACTCCTTGAACAAGTGGATTAATCTTCTGAAACCTACAAAGGGTAAAAGTGTAATGAGGTTTTTTTTTTGTTTCCAAAAGACATCTGTCTTTCAGATTTGGAAAGCATAACTTTATCTTCAAAAGATGTTTTCATATGAAGCACCAGCTGTCCAACTTGAATCTAAGAGTGACCTTAACAAAAATCAAATAATAAAAAAAAAACTGGTAAGAAGTAAGTGCAGATGGGGAAATAAGAGAAAATTAACTGCATATAGCCAAGATATGATTTATAGTACCTTCTATGCTGGAGTAGCACAAAGATGAAAATCAGATCTAGCTACCAACACATATTATTTTCATTTATTATAGTTATGCAGCAAATTATCTAAATGAAGGCTAACCCACTAAGGGTAGAATTAAGTATATAAGAAGCAGAACTACTTCTGAAAATAGCAGCTGTGGGATTCTTCCTCTTCCACCACCACTATCATAGGTAGCTTAATGAGAGCCAGTGCGGTGTAGTGCTTAAGAGCGTGGGCCTGGGACTCTGGTGACCTGGGTTCTAATCCCCATTCAGACAGATGTTGGGCCAGTCACAAACTCTCAGCCCAAGCCACCTCACCAGGGGGTTGTTGTGAGGAGAATTATTTAAGCTGCCTTGAGTTCTTTAAAAATAAGGTAAATAAAGAAATAAACTTATCCCATGCCCTCATGTCAGGCATTTTCTTGCCCCTGCCAGCAGCAGCCAAGGAAGTGAGAAGCAGAGGTTTTATTTCAGGAAAAGTTGCACAGGAAAACTTTGTTGGAGACTGTGCCCTATCAGGCTAATTTGAGAACCAAGACTTTTGGAGAACAAAAAAGGCAGCGTAGATTAGTATTACAGGAAGAAAAAGAATCTTTTGCCATGCATTTCATGCAGTAATGTACAGCAATATTTGCCAACTTGGCATGCCTCAGATATGTTGGACAACATCTCCCATTAGGCTGGCTAGGAAAAATGGGAGTTGTAGTCCAGTGCATCTGATTATGTGTGTCAGAAGTGTTGGGAGGGGTGATATCAAAGAATACAAGTGAGGAAGAGGAATATAAGGGAGGAAGATGTTGTAAGGTGGGGTGAGATGTGAACAGGATGCAAAGACAGGTCCTTCAGCCACGGATGAGGCCACAGCAACAAGGAAGGGAAGAAATGTGCAAGGTCTGCAAAGCTCAGGGGTCGTAGACACTCTCTATCCCAGAAGAAGGAAGAAACCAGCAGACGAGCATTGAAACCCAACTGAAACAGAGAAGAATTGAATGGATTAACCTCCATCCAGTAAGCCAAGGTGGGTGTTCAGCTAAGCTGGGATGAATCCATAGAGTCGTACGATTACAGAGTTACCTCCCAGCCAGCCCCATCATGCTACTGTCCACACGTCTACTTGCAGACTTAAAACAAACAAAAAAGCTGAGAGATCCAACTGCAGAAAAGTGATTTCTTGAGATAATTGTTTTCGCCTGTAGGCATCAGCGGGAGCTCCATCTCCAATTTTCAGATGGAGCATCTGACTGAGAAATACTCACAGCAGCACCGTGCAATGGCTAAGGATCTTCACTATTCATCCAGAGAGAACAGCGAAGAGACAGGCAAACAGCACTGGTGTGGCCCCAGTCCTTCTCTGCAAAGCATTCCTTCAATGTACCGAGGGCCATCAGGGCAATTTGGCTCCACCCGTCAGTGAAGCTGCTCTCCATCCTAACCCACTTCAATGGCTGGATCTGGGGATCAGGAAGGATGGCTATTGTACATCAGATTTTTTGTAAACCACCATATGTCCCATGTCTAAAAGATCCAAGGTATCAATTCAGGTTAAAGCTACTACACTGCATTACAGGGCATATTGGTAAACTGCCAGGACTAAAAATCCCATAGGACATATCCCGCTTCTTCATAAATTGGGCTGATATTGCCTTATTCTGTATCAGTCTTTCTCAGGCCTTTTATTTCTCCAGCAGAAGATTGGTAATAGGCTTGGAAAACCTCATTGCAGTGCATTGCATGGATTGGATTTCTGTGTCTTGAACAATCATGTCATCTAGGCTGAATGGGTTCATAGGCCAGTATATTTGGGGCTGATACCCACCTCCAGCATTTGGAACATCTAAAGAGTAACTCTAGCTGCCTGCTTCCCTCTGCACACACCCTGCAATGTAATCACTTATCATCTTTTGCAAGCTTTGAAACATATATTTTGCAATCTGGAACAGAATTAAACAGGGACTGCATTTTTTATTTTAAGTAGACATAGCCATAAGACCAGATACTGAAGATGAAACTCAAATGCTTTGGCCATCTAATGAGAAGAAACAATTCATTGGAGAAGACCCTGATGCTGGGAACAATTGACAGTAAAAGGAGAAGGGAATGGCAAAGGATGAGGTGGCTAGATGAAGTCACTGGGGCAGTAGGTGTGAACTTGGGTAGACACCAAAGGATGGGGAATGACAGGAAAGCCTGGAGGAATGTCGTCTGTGGGGTCACAATGGGTCGGATGCGACTTTGCAACTAACAACAAATCCATAAGGATAGTCTGGACATGCACATGGGAGGCATGTAATGAGCAGAGCTAGCTGAAGCCGGGGGTCAGACTAGATGGTCCAGGAGACCCCTTCTGACTTGCTCAGTCTCTATGTTGCTATGTTTCTATACCAGCCATGAGATTTTTAAATATCTATATAATGTTTCAAATATGTTTAACTAGCAAGCATATCAAGTTATGCTCACTTTTCAAGAACATAGTTTGATGTGACAATTTTGACCAAATCTACGGAACTGTCAGAGTGGGAGCCATTGTGCTGTTCCACCTGAGGCCTACAGCATCCACCTCAATTCAGACTTGATGGACTGCGATTCTATATGTTGGTTAGGGAAGTCTTCTTCTGGTGACTGGAGATGTTAGTGCAGGCATCAACTATATGGATGCACTATAATTAATTAAAATTAATTAATGAGTTTCAAGAGCAAACTAACTCCTAAGGTTAGCTCCTAAGGAATACTCTTATGCTTCATGGTCTTGGTACTATGCTGATTAGTGGATGGACAGATGGCTCATAGTTCCCTTCATATAATTTGGTTAGTATTTATTTCTAAATATTTACCACTAAATATTTTACTGTCTGTCCCCTGCCTCTCATATTGATTTGTCTCTTTCATTCCCAAGGTCCCAGCGTGGCTTACAACAAAGTAACAAATAATATCAGTACACTATAGAATGATATATAAAATGGATGTGGCAGCAATGGTAAAAACAGATCAGAGAAATGCCATCTATTAACATGGTACACATTGTTCCCTCTGTTTCTGATGTTCAGAAGTATTCCTGCAGCCAAAACAGCACGATCCATACTTATGGGGCAAACCTCAGTGGAATCAAAGTGAACCCATAGTTTTCAGAAGTGCAAAGAAACAGCTAAATGGGGAAACAAAATTCCCGCAGTGCCACAATCTGGAATGCTTATTTGGGGTGGGTAGAAACTGCAATAGAGTATTCCGAAAGAAGACATGCCTGAAACATTATACAAGAACATGCCATACTGCAACACTTTGTTGCAGGTCCTGCTTGCTATCAAATCTTTTGCTTGGTGCCGAGCAGCAGGCACCAGGAAAGTCTGTCCATTGCGGCCTTTTGCATACAGGACACCAAAATGGAGACGGGCATCAGCTGCTTAATTTTAGAGGCAGGCTGATCCAGAGGAGGGATTCTGCAGGTAATCACAATGTTTAGACAAGTGCATGCAGGAGAAGGCAGCTCCTTTGCAAGAACATATCACGGCAGCTGGCCATTATGTCATCCATGTGCAACGAAACCTCTGTCTCTCTCACCCGTTCTTGCTGGATGGATTGCCCCCGATGCAGAATTAGGAGCTATTTCCTAACAAAACAAAAGCCTGACCAGAATCTATCAGGGCTTTTCGCTTCAAAAGAATATAGTGTATAACCCTGTTGAGAAAAAATAAATTACAGCTTTGTTGTTGTGTGCAGTTTATAAGATTTATTGGCTACAGGAAGTCTCATTGTCATGAAAAATGGGCTACCATTTCCTTGAAATGTGAATTCAGTCCCTGTTCCAAGCAATTCAACAGATAGGGTAAATAGGTGTCAAAACAAATCCGGGGGCATGGAAGGGTCAGGCTGGCTGCATGTGGTATGTTACGTGTGGAGCTTGTGGAATAGATGGCAAAAGTGAGAACAGTTGACAACCGAGTCTATTCCATCTAATCATGTTGCATACATTTTCTTGTTGGGTTCCATTATGGCACATTACAGTAATCTCACCTCAGGGTTATGAAGGCATGATTGAATGTTGCCCGGTCCAGAGGAGTTGCAGGATCAAAACAGAGCAGGAAAGCAGTAGCTCAGTGGAAGGACATGTGCTTTGCATGTCTAAGATGTCAGATTCCATCACCATTGAAAGAGCGTCAGGGCTGGGAAACACCTCTGCGACACACCTCCATGAGCTACTGCCTATAGCATCAGACACAGTGATAGACCGATTTGTTGGTTTCACTTCCTCCCGCATTCTAATTCTTTACATCGCCATTTTTTAAAATCTCAATTATGAAGTACATTTGGTAAGATTTAGTAAATGGTTGTCTAAAGTGAAGCAAATTGACATTCTCACCTATCTGCCCTGGTTAAGTCAATACATACATCTATTTTCAACATGAAGATCTATATTGTACCTGCCTTCCATGAAGCTCTTAAAGTGGATGGAACCAATCACCCTGGGAGGTTGTGGGCTCTCCCACATTCT